GTTCTAAATGTACCTTAGAGGAATATTTTTCAAGTGTTTAATACTCTTATCAACATATGAGTGGACAAATATGCTTTATGCAAATGTTTGTTTATTATCATTGGAACAATGACAAATATTCTCCTGAATATTTTCAATACAACAACCTGGAACCTCTCTTACACTCTCTCCCAACCCTGTCTACTTCTTTGCACTGAGCCAGTTGCTCAAACAGACAAGCCTGTTTACAGTTGTTGGCAAAATGCCGCTCCTCTGTCTTCATAAAAGTCAAAGCATGAGACTGAAGTTCCCACTGTGGGTCAAAATAATGCGCTGTGATGTGCAGTCGACACTTTGGATGCGATCCGAATTATCTAACGCAGCCCCTCGTCCTCCACAATAATAACCTGTAGCCACCCATTTAGCTATCGCTGTTGTGTCACATCCACATCTGGAGTACCATCTCTGGTGCCAACAGATCTTTTGAGAGGGGTTGATTAAAACATTGTCCAATTTCTCAATGAGTGACTAAAAGATAATTAAAATAAAGGGAAGCCTTTATTCAAATTCCGGCTTTAATTCAGAATGATGATTTTAATTTCAGTCCAAGAAAAAATACATTGTAGAAAATAGCAGATACACTTGGGAAAAAGCTAAACCACACCACTTGTAAAGCACATTTTTATTGTTTTTCGCAGGCTGATAACTGGCTTTTCACAGCTTTTTAGGACTGTTTGCCCTATGCCTTCACTGCAGCTCCCAGAAAATGTGTTTCACCAACAGTAGTTTCATATATAGAGAAAAAGGAGGAGGTAAAAGGAGGCAGACTAGTTCATTTACTTGTGGGTGTTTGTTCCACAGCGGCTGTGTGTGGGTGAAGATGGAGAGAGCAACAGATTATATGAGCGTGGTCTTCCCTGCAGAGCCATAGTTGTGGCTATAAAGTTCTAAGAGGGTAGTCCTATTGTGTGTGTGTGTGTAGTGTAGGTGTGTTCCATTGTTCAGGGGTGTTCACTGTGACACTGGTGAAGTTTTATCTCTGCAATAATGGGGAATGCAGTCTCTCCTTATGTCTCTTGTTACATCAACCTTCTCTCGTCATTCATTCCTAACGGTCCCAGAGGCCCAAGTAAAGAATTGGACATTAAGTTTAGCATCTATCAGCATTCAGAAAATTGTCGGTTCCCTCCAAATCTGATTAACATTGAGCAGCAGTCATGCTTCCAGCCATGTGCTCCTCTCCCTCCTGCTTCCTCCACTCTGTCATTGATTAAAGCTGCTGCACTGTCCATCCGTTTTTATTTGCACTACGGTTACGAGTGAAACATTACTAAACAGCTTCTTTATCAGGCCAGATGTGTCATTCCTCATCTAAATGGGACATTTATTACCATCAGTTACTCCTGAGGGTGTAAATATGAAATGGAAATAGAGGATTCAGATGCATTTCTATATGTGTACACAGCACAACACCATGTATTAGGAGCAGTTAGGGTTAGGTAACAACTCTAGGTAAGAACACATTTTTGTTTTTGGTATGTGCTTTTTAATTTTAATTAAAGGTGGGGTATGTAATTTATTTCAGAAACACTTTTTGTTATATTCCATGGAATGCTCTTAACATCCCGATAGCAATGAATATATGAAATGCTTTGACAATAAATACATAAAAACATTTCATCTGCGGAAGCCGTAGCGCTGTAAAAAGCACGACCAATCATTTTAGCCGGCCCGGCTAAAATAACTGGATGGCCTACCTGCCTGTCAGCCTTCCATCTGTGCACAAACTTATCTCGTGCCCTCATTGGTCATGTGCGCGTTCGTGTGTGTTGGAGGAGGGGCTCTGTAAGGAAGATTTTTTCCGGTTGTGTATTTTCAAATTCTAGCGCACTCGAGCTGGTTTCTCCAAAATTACCTACCCCACCTTTAAAGTGGACCTATCATGCTATATTTGAATAATATATTGTAGGGCCATACCTATATAAGGTATATTTATACGTTTTCTTTTTCAAAATACCAAACAGATCATGCATTTTAGCCATGCCTCATTTCGCTCTATTTTGCTCTCCTCCACCCTGTCTTTGCATGCGCTGCAGCTGACCACGCCCCCCTGCAAAGGAGGGGGCCGAGTTACGAGCGTCGTGTTACCATGCTGTTAGACTTTAATATTTTATTGAAAAAAATGACATACAATCAAAAAAACAGCTGCGGGTAAAATTGACCCGTTAGCGGTTCTAGTGTTAAATCACTGATTGTTCATGCTTTGGAAATAATATTTCACTTCATATGAAGTAGGGATGTATAATTATAATAAACAGAATTGCAATATGGAGTAGTGCGTTATAGGGCTGCACGATTTTGGGAAAAAATCTAATTGTGATTTTTCTGACAAATATTGCGATTGCGATTCGATTTGCGATATTTGTTTTTAAGCGACGAAGTTTATTGTAAAATGCGGCCATATCTCCGGCTAGGAAGGTCGCATCAACGTGCTCCCGTCTCTAGCACCCCCGCAGCCCAAGCTACGAGTGAAATAACTAAACTTACATGAAACTTCCGTTGGGTTGCTTTAAAGTCAAGCTTCAGTTTAAGATTCACCCTGTAATAGATCATATGTGATGGAGCATTACTAACCTGACTCAGATGCTTTGTTTCACCAAACCATCTAGGAAAGCTCCATTGGAAGCCATTTGGAAAGAGCAGGCACAAAATACTTGGCAGGTGATTGGATCAATCTGTCTATCACCTTCTATCATGGGCCACTTCTGATTGGTTAACAATGGCTGGTACATGTGGAGCACAGCACTTCTGATTGGTGTGGATGACTGACACACAAGAAGTAAAAAAAAGAAAATGTAAAAAAAAATTAATCGTTCAGCCCTAGTGCGTTATCCAAATTGCACTAAGTGCAGTATGTTCGTATTGTGGTGCTGAAGAAAAGTCACGGCCCACAAATCATAATCTGCCGATTTAATAAAAAGTATTTGTTTGGTACAGATCCTCTTGAAAACATCCACCATGATCATTTTAATATATATTTCATGGATAATGTAAATAATAATAAATACAAAAATCATTCCTAATATTGCATATTATATTCCAATTGCATTATCAGTCTAAATAACCGCGTTATTCAATTTTTTCCAAGTCGTGCAGCCCAAATCCTAAGTATTGTTGCATAAGTGAACGAATACCTCCTAAAATACCTACTTTAACACTTACTATTGCTATGGTAAAAATATTCTAGTAAGAATGCTTCAGTGGTGTAAGCGATGATACTAACCAGGGGCACTTAACCAGATGGTCTCATTATTTTTCTCCCCCACCTCCTGCCAGCAATCAATCACTGTAAATTAATCACAGAACCTTTCGAATCATGGTCAGAAAATGACACGGTACATAACGTCCTATTTGGTGACTGGCCCATGGTGTAATGTTGGAAAAACCCTGGGCATGAATTTTCTTTCTCTCCACACCCTCTAAACCAACTGACACTAACTAATTGACTTGCAGCACTGCTTAATAAAACTAAAAGCAGGAAATGCCATCCAGCCAACTCATTACAAAGGCCTAATCCTTTATAGCTAATTAACTTATGCTCCGTCACAGACAAGGGGACATTTACAATGCTGTCAAGGGTAGCAGTCCTCTCACGTCCCTGTCCAGCTGCTTGATTTGAAAGGAATTTTTAAAAGCTGATGTTGGCTGAGAAAGATATGCATGGGCCGAATGCGGTGTTCACTTGTACTGAAATATTTACATGGTGGAGGAACATTCAAATTGATTCTAGCATTCAGAAATGTATAGCACATTCCCTCGCAGCACTTTTCCCCCTCATCAGGAATGCAGCTCCGGCATTTTACAAATAAATGAACAGTGTGTGTGGGTGGGCGGGTGTTCCTGTGTGGGAGATTTTGCACTACTGAGCATATGCCTTTGAACGTTGGGTATTCATGTCTATATTTTTTAATGGTGAAAATCCTACAGATTTGACTCACATGAATGGGCCTGCTGCAGACAGATTTGGATGCTGCTCACTAGTGCATGGTAACGAGGAATGTGTACAGCTCCATCTCAGATATGAAAAGAAACACTAAGCCAGCGTCTCTATTAGTGGAGTAAAACCAAGGATGTTCAAGTTTTATTTTCAATCCGTTGTTTCATACAAAGACGCCTTAATGGTAATGCTGAAAACACCAAAAACTACAATACATTGGCTTTTGTATTGAAGAGTGTATTGTATTGTGGGTTATATAAATCGGCTGACATCAGCATATACCCTGACATATTTACTGGTTTTATGTAAGCTCAAGTAAATTGTGATAGCAGTTGGTAATAAGCCTCAATAATTCAGATAACAATCACATCAAATCAAATCCTTTTTTTATAGTCACTGCCAAGAAGTGGTTGTTAATACAAGACCAATGTTATATCTATTTGATACCATCTTACAAGGTTAAAGCTGTGGCAAATTAAAATCAGTTGGTGTCTAGGGAGTGATGAGTGAGGCAAAAAATGTACAGGTTACCTGCTCTCTGTATTTAATTGCTTAAAATATTAGAGTTTCCTGTTTTTCAACTATAGATTGGTGTCCTAAAACCTGTCAAACACTTAGCAGTCAATGTTTTTTTTAATGTGATTTTAGATAGAAGCCTGACATCTTAGGTTAACACAAGCTTATGAGATGTTCTTGTTTTGTTCTACGACATAAAATACGTCAGTTTTGTACAGCAGTATAAGGTCCACATATATCATAAAACGTGTGTTGGATTCTGGGTTGGTCTACAAAATTAATTAATCACTGCACTATTGGAGCTTTATCTAGTTTCTGTATGTCAAGCAATGCTTCTTACAAAGGACATTTTGGAGCATTACATGCAACAATAGGTCCCATGTTAAAAGGGTTAGGTATAGGGTATATCATTCAAATGGGCCAATTTTCCTGAACATGTGATTTTTACTGTACATACTGCTAATACATAAGTTTAAAATTCTTACTTGCTTTTCTCTCTTTCTCTTAGGCCATGGAACCAAAGGAGTGTTCGAGCTGCTGGCAGGCTGGAGGAGAACGAGGGAGAACCTTCCCTTCAAGGAGCGTGTGGCAGACGCTTTTGCCGATGTGATGGTGTGCTACACCATGACCAGCTCACTCTACATCATCACATTCGGCATGGGAGCTAGCCCTTTTACCAACATCGAGTCGGTGAAAATCTTCTGCCAGAGCATGTGCGTTGCCATCCTGGTGAACTACTTCTATGTTTTCTCCTTCTACGGCTCCTGCCTGGTGTTTGCCGGACAGCTGGAGCAGAACCGCTACCACAGTGTTTTCTGTTGTAAAATCCCCTCAGTGGAGTACCTGGACCGCCAGCCCACGTGGTTTAAAACCATGATGAGTGACGGCCATGACTTGTCCACGCACCACGACAGCGTCCCCTACCAGAATCACTTCATCCAGCACTTCCTGCGTGAGCACTACACAGAATGGATTACCAACACTTATGTCAAACCTTTTGTGGTCATTCTATATCTCATCTACGCATCTTTCTCATTCATGGGATGTTTACAAATCAGTGATGGATCAAATATTGTGAACCTGCTGGCGAGTAACTCTCCGAGTGTTTCGTATGCCCTGACCCAGCAGAAATACTTCAGTAACTACAGTCCCGTGATTGGGTTTTACATTTACGAACCCATCGAGTACTGGAACTCCACGGTGCAGGAGCACCTGAAGACTTTGAGTCATGGCTTCAACAAGATCTCTTGGATGGACAACTTTTTCCACTACCTGCGGGTGGTGAATGCGAGTGCTTCAACCAAGGGTGACTTCATCACAATCCTCAAGGGCTCCTTTCTGTGCAGCCCTGAGTACCAGCACTTCTCTGAGGACATCATATTCTCCAAGAACCGTGAGACCGATGAGTACGACATCATCGCCTCTCGGATGTATTTGGTTGCCCGGACGACGGAGAAGAAGCGAGAGGAGGTGGTGGAGCTTCTGGAGAAGCTTCGTCCGTTGATGCTGATCAACAGCATCAAGTTCATTGCCTTCAATCCTACGTTTGTGTTCATGGACCGCTACAGCTCCTCTGTCATCTCGCCTATCCTGACCTCAGGCTTCAGCGTACTCACAATCCTCATCCTCACTTTCTTCCTGGTCATCAACCCCTTGGGTAACTTCTGGCTCATCCTCACAGTAACGTCCGTCGAGCTGGGCGTCTTGGGTTTGATGACCCTCTGGAACGTTGGCATGGACAGCATCTCAATCCTGTGCCTTATTTTTACCCTCAACTTTGCCATGGATCACTGTGCACCACACTTGTACACTTTTGTGCTGGCCAATGAGCACACTAGGACGCAATGCATCAAGTTGGCACTGGAGGAGCACGGGGCGGCGATCCTGCAGAACACATCCTGCTTCGTGATCGGGATCATGCCCCTGGTGTTTGTGCCTTCCAATCTGACCTACACACTGTTCAAGTGCTCCCTTCTCATCGCGGGCTGCGTTGTGCTGCACTGCTTCGTCATCCTGCCCGTCTTCCTGACCTTCTTCCCGCCGTCCAAAACGAGACACAAGAAAAAGAAAAGGGCCAAGCGTAAAGAGCGGGAGAGGGAGCAGGAGAGGGAGAGGGAAAGAGAAAGGGAGGAGATAGAATGCATTGAAGTCAGGGAAAATCCTGATCATGTGACAAATGTCTGAGTAGTGTGTAGTTTTAGCAATGAGTATCAGTGGTTATCCGTCAGTTATTGATGGATTAGAGGTGTTCTCCAATGGTAAAGCGCCTCTTGAGGTGCAGGGGAGTTCGAGATGTCCCCTCAGGAGTGGGAACTCCCAAACAATAGCAGCTAAGCTGGCTGGAGTAGAGCGCAGACCCACTGGTTAGTCATTCAGTCCTTCAGTCTGGACAGTGTATCTCATTTGCACAAACTGCAACATGGTTCTAAATCTCTTTCCCAACCGTTTGGTATACAAAGAAGTTGTTCTAGGACTTACGCTAACCAATTGTGCAGGAGACGACTGTGCACGCACCTTACTCCTCACACCCAACAAAAAGAAACTATCCCAAATTCTGTGGAAAGAGAGGAACTGGGAAAAGCACACCAAATGCTTTTCTGTGACAGATACAATAGCTTAACAGCTGAACAGGGCAGATGGCATACACTGTGTCCATTATGAAGAGTTACCTTGCACATTGCATTGTGTGAATACAGCCACGGTTAATATAAGCAGGAGATATGTCTGCTCTATTCCAGAGGTTAAATAAGGTTGTATGCAATGTCTAAAGGAACTGCAGTGGGCTGCAGCGTACGAAGAGGAGGTGATAAGGGACTGTCGTGCAGCAGTATTTGAATAAACAACAAGCCTGAGTATGACTCAAGTTAATCCTAAACTGCTTTTGCACCAGACCAGTAAAACCAAAAGTGAAGAGTGTTTCTGAGGCATGACATATTGAACTTTATAGCAGGTTGAAAACAATGGGAAGTCTATGTGAGAGAATGAATGTCTCTGTGATCAACTTACACAAGCTTACTGGCATGGCACTGGTTATTGTTCTGAATGTTATCCAAACCTAGCAGTGGTGCCAAATAGTGTATAGATTTGTTTTTGTTTGACTGAGTTCTATAACAACAAACACGTCTCAGTTAGTTTAAACTTTCATATAAGTCAACATGGATCATGAATTATTTAAGCTAATTTCAATGATTGCTACTAAATGTCGTTCAGATGAAGATTGTGAAGCAGGCTTTTAATTAAGCAGTAAGGCACTTTTAGTTACGTACACCATATCTGAATGATGTGAAAAACTGATAGATAGCCGAAGTGAAACCATTACCTTCAGGTTTTGTTCCAGAACTACGAAAGCCTCATGCAAAAATGTGACATTTACATTAAAATAATTACTATAAATCTAGCCCTACCATATCGATAAGAGCAGCGCTACGTCACAGCCTGGCAACGGCACGCCCACTTTCTGGTTAAGAAAAACAATTGGCGGAAAGCGGAAAAAATAGTTGGATCATGCTTAAAGCTGCTGTGTCATGTATTGCATGTGAAACAACAACAACTAAAAACATTACTTCACAGCTACATTATGATGCTAATAACAATAACGTCAAATTGTCCATGTACACAGTTGTTATGTTAAAAGTCAAAGTAGTGACTGTAGTCGCTGCATTAAAATATAAAACATGACAAGCCAAGGAAATCCCAGTTTAAGTTTTAACCTGCTGCCTGCCAGTAGTCCACCGGCAGACTGAAATAGATCTCCAATGACGTTATGTAACTGTTTGCTGACTGACCATCCTTAATGCACAGTATTCCTAATTTTTTTATGTGATAGGTAAAATCCTTCCAGAATCTCTATATACCGCCAGTCAAATGACAGAATGTTTTCACCCAAAAAGGGGCGTGGCCTTGACGTAGAGGGAAGGTTCTGGATTGGTTGCTAACAACTATAGCTATGGTCTTCACTCCATTTTGTAAAGACATGGTTAGTATGTTTGAAAAAGCAAAATCATTGTCTATTTATTATTTGCCAGCCTTTAAAGCTACACTTATGGATAGATCAATGGATCAAAAGACAATGTCACAAATAATCATCACACATCTGTATAATGGTTCACCTCAGCTCTGCAGAGCGTTTTAGCGTCTATTAGCCTGTTGTTGTTCATGCACCCTCATGTCACAAAAAAGTGCTGCTTTATGAATTCCATTCACCCCAAGCCTAAGACTATTGAGGGTGAACATCAATCATGACAAATACGAGCTAAGGAATATTCTGTTAAAATAAGAAAAATGGCTAACGGTAATGCCACGCTAGGTAAATGCTATAGCTTCTATGTGTTTCCATGTTGTGTTCAGCAAATCAATCTTTAAACTTTGGTTCAATAATCAAGGGTGAAATAATAGCACGTACTATAAAAAACACTTATCCTAGACTGTGGATAGTTAACCTCGTAAACATTTAACTTCAAGTAATTCATTCTAGGTGCAAAATAGTGAAACAGAACTCTCCTGGAAGTGACGTTGAGACTTCGGCTGTCTATCTGGAAGACTAATAATGACATATTTAGGCCCTGAGCTGGTCTTGTCCATGTAATAAATAGGTAACATTTGACCTAATGCTTCAAATAACATCTCAATATGTCCACTCTACAAATACCCTTCCTCAATGTTCAGTCTTAAAATGGCTCCCACCTCCCCAGAGTGTACACAATATTATCTACATGTGCGAAGGCGCGATTAGAATCTATGTTGGAGTCCCGATACAAAGACACTCAAGGTCAGCAGCTCTGACGGATACAAATCTGAGGCTGACCTCCTGACCTCCTGCATGTGATAGAGACACCATGTATAAGAGCAGATGTGGCTGATTTCAGACCAGTCAATATGCTTTTAGGGGATTGGCTGGCTCTAAAGGGGCTATCACTAAGAGGACACTGCTGTCCTGTTTTCTTGTGGTGTGAAGAGGGATAGTTTGCCATTAACAAGAAGCAAAAGGGTTATTAAACCCACTTATAGCCACTCGCAGAATTAGATGCAGAGGTGAAAAAGAGTCATGAATTACCTGTCACCACATTTGCAGCTTTTGTGGAGTTAGAAAGTAATCTTAAATGCTGAATTGTCAATGATAAGAACCATAGGATTTTTATTTACCAAACCATGCTTGGAAAGTAGATGTTTTTGGCAGGCTACTTCATACAGCTGCTGCAGTAAATGTCACATTATGTAAAAGCCATGTCATGTATGTATAGCAAGAAGGCATGAAATGTTTGAAACACGGGAAAGAAATGCAAATCTTAAATAATTTAATACCCAAAATGAACTGTTTGCATGGCACTGTAATGTATGTATGCATGAATTTAATTTTCGTGTATGAAGTCTGCGTATTCTTTATTTTTGCTACGCTGTAGTGACTTATGTTTGTTGTTTCGATGCATATTCTGTAACACCATGTGCTGCAAAAGAACAACTTTAGTCATATCTGTGCCAAAACAGAAGCCAGAGGTTAATTTCATGTGTAAAATAACTGTAAATTACACTTTTCTATATTTTTTAAGAAAAGAATATACTATAGAAAGATTTTTAATGACAGAATTTTCTTAAAAAAAAGAATAAAAAAGGGAAGAAAAGTTGAATACAGTAGGCCAGTAATAAACAGTGGAATGTTACCAGTATACTAGATCTTATTTCTTGCGCAATGCAGTGTCAATGTTTGTTGATGATTCACGTTTTTATACTGGAAACTATGGCCATCTTTTTATTGTTTGTTTTTGTGTCTTAATAATCTATACTATTCACCCTCATATTTAAGATAACAGTTCTTTACTCAACAGCCCTTTTTAAACAACAGTGGTCTATCAGGCTTTGTAATAATCACTCTAAAACCTGGTTAGAAAATAATGGAATCGCCAATTTATGTCTGAAATACAGCTATTACATGAGGTCAAGCATAGCAGCAAATGTTTTTATTGTTTAGCTTTTAGGCTCTTCTGGATCATCATTCCAAAATATACTTGATAATGTCTTAGGCGACGTGTTATAGCTCAACCTACACATTCACGATGCTTCAGATTTGTTACAATTAGCATTATAGCCAATGCTGAGTAATGTCTGATTAGGCTCCTGTGTATCTAAATAGTAACATTAGAATCTAATAGAGTTTATTCTAAGGCCATACACTGGGTCTTACCGATGACATAACTAAACTATATTTATTGTGACATTAAAGCTAAAGTATTATTATGAAACATGTTCATCAGATTAGATGTTGTCAAGGTTCCCTCAAAATCTATTTGTTATTCCACTAATAAGTGCAATATATGATCATCAACAGCACAATATTTCCATTTAGCTTGTTGTATAACCTACATTGCAACCTTAGCCTCTGAGACAAATTGTTGTTTTATTGCAACTCATCTGTCTTGAATGCCAACTAACTAAGTTGCCCTCATTCATCAAACCTGTTATTTAATGGCTTCTACTTCAACATCTTTCACAAAGTCTTGACGTGTGTAGAAGGTAACTAGGTCAAAACAAAGTAAGGCTATTTCCGTCCCATTTGAGTCCAATTACTGTTGATGAAACATGCATTGTTTGCTTCATACACTGCAATATGGGAATCTATCTATCTATATATCCAGAATAACTTAATATTGTGAAGTACAGCAATACTTTAAGGTTTTGTAGCTGTCAAAAGCAAATGTTGTGCCACTGTTTCCCTATCCTGGCCAATACAACATTGTCTAAAAGGTGGTCTAAAACTCACCCGATTTTGAGTTTTGTGACTCAAACACGTTGAATAATAATACAATTCATGTCTATAGCTGTCAATGTATCTCTGGTACAAGGTGTTGTTTGCGTTTACAAGTATTTGGAGGATCCTGGTCAGTTTGATTTTGCCAAAGTATGAGCCTAATATACTGTGTCTTAGAAGGGAATACCACTCAGTAAAATAAGTTTAGTCAGTATGTGCATGGTCAGTACTTCCTCAAACCACAAAATACATGATCTTGAAATGCATTGAAGAATGTTAACATGGTGTTACCATGTTATGTTTCCATACACAGGACCTGAAAGTCAGGTGATATTGACTTTCATATCACACATGGGTAATATGAACTTTTCAGGTATTTTTCAAATCATAGTCTTTGGAAGGCTAACTTTTTAGGCTTACCTTTCAGGCTTGAAATTAGAAA